GGCGACGGCGACGGTAAGGAGACAAAAGATCTAATGGGCAGAACAATAGCTAGCACGTGAGTTTTAAAACTTTCATAGCCGTTCTTTGCAAAACAACAACGTAAAATCACCAAAATTTACGTCGTCTGAGAGCGGAAACCGCGACGGCAAATTATTGTAATTTCCATTTGGAACTCAACGCGGCTAATATACGTCATGCTGTAGTCGAGGAGTGGCGCCGTTAGAGACGGTAAACGCATGCAGCCATTTTCGAAATTCTAATTAAAGTAGAATTAACAAATGGTAAATGCATCCATAACTCAATAGTGTACGCTGTGGTGTTTACCATTTGTTTTATAACATAACATTGATACATTGTAGCTAAAGAGTTCCCGTTTATTTAACAAATCTTACGCGACCAGAAAAAAACAAGCGCGCGCGGAAAAATAGTCTTTGCATTTGCTCACGTCAGCAGCGTACACCCATGGGCAAAAGGGGAACGCTAAATTGACCAATCAGAGCGTGCGCTTTACTTTGGTTATGTTATAAATTCATTTTTTAACCGACGTCTTCCTTGACGTTGTCGTCCTGACTGCTTATGGTCTCTAATGACGAGGAATTTTTAAGAACGAGGAAAGTTTCGTTTCATCGCTGTCCCACCTTATATTTCGTATTTTCCCTCCCCAATCATAATCTAGACATATCTTCAGCTTTGAATGGAACGTTTTCTTTTTTTCACCATGTAGATGCAATCTCCTGGAAGTCTTGGAAGACTGTGGTGAAGTCCCGTTATCATGTGGTCACGTAGATCTTAGTTTTCGACCATTTCAAATAACAACGCTGCTGCTATTTTTTTGAATAAGCCCACTTTCTTGTGGTTGAGGTAACCTTAGCTATTCAAACTTATCCATCAGGGCCCAGTTGTACAAAGGGCGGATAATGTTGTCCGACGGGTAAATCGCTATCCAGCGGATAAGTGATAGCAAATCGTACTGCACTATCCACCAGAAAAGGATTTATCCAGTTCTTCAGCTTCAGTCACATTTTTAAGACGTTTCCCAGCGCGATGGCACAGTGGGGAGGAAAAATATAGTTAATAAACTATGCTAGTATTGTTCATATTTTAGGCTCTCCCCGAAAGGGTATTTTGCATACTTTAAGTCTTTTCCAGCATACAGTTGGTCTAGAGGTCATGATCCGACTTGATAGTCATTACTCATTTTAGTTTACTTGCCGCTGGGAGTTTTTGAGGGGGGCAATCTGATGAAATTTTTCATTTTCTCCTAGTAAGAAATCATTTACGCTGCTGACCTCCTTCATAGATGGTGGGCGTAATTGTCATTGTTTCATAAACGTGTATATTTGCCCTCTTAGACTGGACCGTATGGTTGAAAACAACAAATTTTCTCCGAAAATTGGTCCAACATGGCTAATTTTCATTCTCATTAAAGAATTGTAGTTTGTCATACCTGCGCTTCTGATAAAGGTCTTTTGCGCCCTTACGTGATTAATACTAGACGCATGGCTGCCCGCTTGTTAGTCGGTGCTAAATCAAGAGACAGTATAACACCTATACTTATGAAACTTCATTGGCTCCCGGTCACAAAACGAATTCAATTCAAGATACTGTTGATAACATACAAAGCACTAAATGACATGGCTCCAACCTATCTTGTTGAACTTCTTAGTCGATATATTCCAGCACGAAACCTCCGTTCATCAAA